TTGGAGGGGTGGGAAAAGAGCAGGGAGGGGTAATTCAGAGCCCCGAGCCCAGCTGGGGGGCTCTCTGGTGTGGTTTCGCTGAGGTCTCGAGCCTGAGACCCCCCGCTGCCAGTCATGGAGACTAGCGCTCCGAGCCTCTGGGACCACACGTGCCTGGAGAACCTGCTGGGCCCTGTTCCTCTGCAAGGCTCTCACCCTGCTAAGAGCTCACGGCTCTGAATCCCAGGAGGTCGCAGCCCTGGCTTCAGTGGCCACAGTGGCCGAGATGACCTGGGTGCATCTGGAGTTCCCCCCTCACTTGCCACTGCCTGTCCTCTTTGGCCAGGTGCTGGGGAGGCAGAGTCACGTGACTGAACCCCAGTGGCCACTGGTCAAGCCCAGGGGCTGCCTCCTCTCCTCTCTTCTCCCCTCTCTGCGGCCGCCACCCCTCACCTGCTCAGTCCCCGCAGCCGCCACCTAGCTGAGACGCAGATGCCATCTGCCCTACACTCCCCGCTCCAGGCTCAGCACCTGCTGCCCCCTGGGGCCCAGATGGCAACAAAGTGATGGAAGAGGGCTCAGGTTTTCTGGGTCCCCACCTGTGCTAGGCTCCTGCTCCCTCCCTGAGACCCCCAGAAACTCCTTTGTCCTATTATTCTCCTTTCATTCCTGCCAGGGAACTCAGGGTCTCCCTCCCCCAGGCCCTGCCCTTCTCTGGGGTGACACTCGGGTCTCTAGAAGGCCACTGGGCAGGGCAGTGGGTGTCCACCTTTGTCCAGCCTGAGGCTCCATGCACAGCCCTGGTGCCCCCTCCCGACAAGGCCCGTGCCTCCGGCAGGGGTGGAGCCCCCATCCTCCCCTGAAGCACTTTGCGTGGTTCCAAGATGGGAGGTGCCACATGGGAAGCAAGGCTGGGGGAAAAATGATCCGGACTTGCAGAGACGGGGTGGCCCGGGGGGCCGGAGCGCTGCCCCGCAGGGCGTGTCTGTGAGGTTCCGCTCAGCACGCCATGTGCAGCACGTCTCCGGAGCTTCGGCCTGGCGTGTTTTCAAAAAGGTGCTGACGGAGGCACACTGAACTCCTTTCAGGAATAAATCTTGCCTCGTGTGAAGCTGGAGCTGGAGTGCGGAGAGAGGCAGGGAGCTTAGTGGGCGCGGGCGGGCTCTGGGAGCAGGCGGCCTGGGCCTGAGTGCCGGCCCTGGTGTGTCTGGCTTGAGCAATGCGCTCCACCCCGCTGAGCTTTAGAGACCTCGGCTCTCCAATGGGGGTGATCGGGGTGTGTGCCTCGGTGGCAAGTGTGGGGTGAATGAGAGGGTGCAGCTGAGGTACACAACCCAGCCCAGCCTGTTGATTAACGCTGCCAGTGCTGCTTAAATGGTGGCATTGAAGAATAAAGCACTTGTTAACAGCCCTCTTAGCATGGGATCAGCTGCAAGCAAGAATGGGATACAAGGCCCACCCCAGGGAGTGGGGGGCTAAGAGGGAGGTGAGGGGGCCCCTTGTGGCTGATTTCACCCGTGGCACAGCTGCTGCAGTCCCCTCTTCCATCGCCTCCTGGTTTCCTCTTTTGCTTTCATAACCAATGGATGTCGCGGTTTGTAGGTGACAGAAGTTCTACACCCTGATTCCATCCCACGGCAGTGCCAACTTACCCCCGTTTACAGATGAGGAGCCTGCGGCTCTCTCCTGTGCAATGATTCGCCCAGGGTGGATTTGCTGTAACGGAGGGCCTTCTGGCTTTGGGGTGCAGCAGGCGCAGCTGGGGGGCTCCCAGGCCTGGGGCAGACAGGCGGTGGTAGGTCTCCCCCTAGGTGTTGGCTGGTTCTGCTGTCCGACTGACCTCGTGGCTTGGCTGGGAGCGGATGCTCCACGTCGCCCACACCCCTAGGCCTCTTTCAGGTTCAGTCACTCAACAAACATTTACCGTCACTGCCGTGCCAGCTGTGTGCTGGGATCTGGGGACGTGGTGATCAGTCAGGTGTGATCTGTGCTCTGGCGGGGCTGCCAGCCATAAAGAGAGGTGGGCATGGCAGAGAGTGGGGGGACAACTGGCAGATATAGTACTGGTGGGAAGTGTGGCAGAGGTCCAGGGCAGGGGGACAAGTTCCTAGTGCTCTGGGCATGCCGGCCCCCTGCCCAGCCCACAGCAGGTGTTCTGGGCTGCGAATCAGCTTTGAGATTTCAAAGGTTTGGAGTGGCAGGTGCTTTATAAGAGGCCTGAGAGTGGCTGTCCCAGCCTCCCTGCCCAGTGCCACCTCCCCAGACCAGGGAAGGCCCCTCTGGGAAGGGGGAGCTCCAGAGAGGATCTTGGGGGTACTTGAGGACCCCGGTTGTGATCAGTCAAATCCTAATTGTAGCCCCAACAGTGCCCCACCCCACTGCACCCCACCCCTACTTGTAGCATGTTCCGTCCTGTGTACAAAATGTAGTATATGGAATTCACACCACATCTTGCCTTCAAATTTCTGAACTGTTGATCCATTGCCCAGCCCTCTGCCCCATCTCATCAGAACATTTCTTTTGACAGCAGGAGTCATTCCCTCTCTCCTTTTATTTTAGTTTTATGGGGTTTTTCACGGATGGAATCCCAGTCCTGTACCCAAAAGCCCTTTGCAAGCCGACCTCTTCATAGGATTCCAACCTAGAGAGGATGGCAGGCACCCTTGTTAACGTCCGTGTGTCTGAATGCCCTCTGCTCTGTGAGGCTGTGTCCTTTGTGCTGTGCATCGCTCTGTCTCTTCCGCGTTCCAGGCTGAGCTCCCCCAGCTCTGGCTACGTGGAACTCGAGATTTCATTGCCCTAAGACCCCACAGGAGCAGGTTTCCGATATCAGGATTTGCCTTATCAATTTATCCTCTTATTCATTTTAACAAATATATTCAGAAACAAAGATCGCTGAGCATCTATACTGCCAGGCCTTGTGCTGGGGGCCCGAGTTACAAAAATGGTAGGGTGTGGCCTCTAGCTTTGAGTTGGTCACAGTTCTGCGAGGATGATGGACAAGTAGATGGACAAGTAAAGTCATCCCAGGAGGGTCGTGCTGGGATAGGGGTCAGCACGGGCTGTGGGAAGACAGAGGACTCCACACCAGTGGGGGAGTGGTGGTCAGGGAAAGCTTCTCGGAGGAAGTGATACCTGGGCTGAGCCTTGGAGGGATTCACCAGGCCAAGAGAGAGGAAAAGAAATAAAAGGCAGTGTGTGCACAGGCACTAAGGCAGATGAGCTGTGGTGGCTCTGGGACACCTTGGGGTGTGTGCATGCACGTGTGTGTGTGCTTACACACACGTGTGATGGGGAAGCCAGAGGAAAGAGCCTGGCAAGAGATGCGGCTGGACGGACCAGATCATGAAGGGGCCTTGTATGTCCTGCTAAGGAGCTTGGAGTTTATCCCCAAAGCCACGGGGAGCTATTGAAAGGGCTTTTAAGCAGGGGAGTGCCATGATCAGATTTGTGCGTTAGGAGGATCATCCTGGCAGCCTCATGGAGGATGGATTGGAGGGGCCCAAGCTGGAGGCAGGGAGATCAGTCAGGATTTCTTGGGATTTTCTCTGTGGATTTACAAATCTGATGAGGCTGGCTGGGGTGGGCCTGGCACGCACCGGCTTAGAAAATAATAGCTCTGGAGACCCGTCTGGAATGGCTCCCTGGCTCCGAGTTTAATTCCTCCTTCAACTGCTGATTACCAAGCCTACCTCCCCCACCCCAGCCTACAGGACCCCCGACCGTCTTCCAGATCCCTGCCCTCCCCAGAGGCCTCAGACCCTGGAGGCTCCCGGGTTTAATCAGAAAGGGTCATGCTGGTCTGGGCCCCTCTGGGTCCTCCGAATGCCAGGCCACAAGAGCCCAAACATTGTCTTTCCTCTCACACCCAGCTGGCTATGCCCAGCGCACAGAGCAGCCATTGAGGGGCTGCGCAGGCCTGGCAGGGGTCCTGGGCCATGTTAGTTACGGGCAGTGGCTTAGTCACGCTCCTAGGAGCCTTTCTTCCCGGGACAAGCCTGTCCTTGTGCTCAGGACCATTGTCACGCAGCAGCCCAGCTCCCAGCAGCTGCAGAACCCTCTGCCAGCCCCCAACAGGGCACTTCAGAGACACCGCCAGTGGGAACCAGAGCCCAGCATGAGAGCCGCGTCCTGGGGGTGGAGGGCCCCCCTGGAAGGCTGCTCTGAGAGCCCTCATCCTTCCCCACACCAGGTGCCCATCTCTGTTCACGGGTGCACGGCCCAGGCACCGTCCTGTTCCTTTGGCTCTGGCCTGCCGTGTTCAGGAAGCCTGGGAAGACTGCAAGCCCACCTCCTCCCCCGTCCCCTCTCCTGTGTTAAAGCCGACCAGCCTCTGCAGAAGCATTTCCAAACACAGCTTGCAGTCCCAGTGCACGCCCTGGGGGTCGGCAGATTGCATGCATGTATTGAGCACCTGTTGTATACTCATGCCCTGGGCTGGGTGCACTTGTATGTGGTGGTGTCTCATTGTAGGCTGGGCTGTGTAGTAGTTCAGAGTACAGGCTCTGAATACAGACTCTTCCAAACCGTGACCCCTCTGTTTACCAGCTGTGGGACTTTGGGAAAGTTACTTTCCCAAGTAACTTACTTTGCCTTCTTTTGCCACAGTTTCTTCATCTGTAAAATGGGGCTGTTACAGTATCTGCCTCATAGACTGGAGTGAGGATTCAATGAGATGATGTTTAGCTGAGGGCACGTAGCAAGGACTCAGTGCGACGCTGCTGCTGCTGTTCCTCTTCCTCATTGCTGTCATTACTGGGCCTTCACTACTGCTTGAGGGGAGAGTGTTATTCCCATTTTATAGATGAGGAGGCTGAGGCCCAGTGAGGTTAAGTAACTTGCCCGATGTCACACAGCCAGCCAGTGGCTGAGCTGGGATTTGAACCCAGCTCTCTGTCCCGTGCTCCTGCGACACAGCTGGCCCTTTGGAACACAGGAGGGTGGGCTCCTGACCTGGAGCGGTGGGAGTGGTGGACTGTCCTATTGCATCTAAGTGCACTTTCTCTGCTTTTCCAGATTTCTGAGCCTGGAGATGAGGGTCGGTATAGCTCCAGGATGGTGAAGTTCATGACACTTGGGCAGAAGCTGCCACTGCAGGACCTGGTGGCTGGAGACGAGTGATGGTACCGTCCGAGCACCTGCTGGAAACGGGGCAGGAGGAACAGTAACCCCAGGGAGCACAGCTGGTGCCAGGAGACAGGCATGCCACCCCTGGAGGCCCCGGCCTCCCTGCCGCCAGGGTGCTAGGAGCCATCCCTGGGCTCCAGCCAGGAGCCCTGCCGCCCAGGGGCATGGCCAAACCTTTCTTCCGACTCCAGAAGTTTCTCCGCCGAACGCAGTTCCTGCTGTTCTTCCTCACGGCCGCCTACTTGATGACCGGCAGCCTGCTGCTGCTGCAGCGGGCCCGAGTGGCCCTCCCGCAGGGCCCCCGGGCGCCCAGCCCCCTGCAGGCCTTGCCCGTGGCCGCCATGGCGCTGGGCGTGGGCCTGCTGGACAGCAGAGCCCTGCACGACCGGCGGGTCAGCCCAGAGCTGCTGCTCGGAGTGGACGTGCTGCAGAGCCCCCTGGCCCGGCCCCGGCCCGGCCCCCGCTGGCTCCGGAGCCGCAACTCGGAGCTGCGCCAGCTGCGGCGCCGCTGGTTCCGCCGCTTCATGGGTGACCCCCAGGGGCCGCCCGCCCTGGGCCCCGAGGCCCCCAGGCCGGCCGGCAGCAGCCGAGGTAGGTGCTCAGCCCTGGTTCCCCTGCGGATTTGGTGGCTGCCCCGGGAGCCCTGCTCGGGGGCCCGGGATTGGTGTCGTCTTTCTCTGGCCCTTGCAGGAAGTAGGCACCGCAGGCCCACGGCCTTCACAGATGGTTCCTTCCCTCCTGCTCTGCAGGAGACAGGAAGGGCCTGCCATCGGAAGTCCTTTGCAGTTTTGCTCACTCACCAGCTGGACTTCCACGTGGCTCAAGGCCGCGACGTGCGAGCATCTTAGAGCCCAGCCTTTGGGTTCACACAGACCTTGACTTGAATCCTGGCTCAGCCACAAACTTGTTGGGTGACCTTGGACATGTTACTTAACTTCTCCAAGTCCCTCTGAAATGGGCATAGCGATCCACCCCAGGGTTATTGTGAAGACGAAATGTGACAGTAGAGAGCAGTGGCTCACAAAGTGGGGTCCCAGACCCACAGCCCGAGCATCACCTGGGAGCTTGTGACAAGTGCAGATTCTCAGGTCCTCCCAGACTTACTGAATCCTGCACCCTGGGGCAGGGGCCAGCAGTCTGCATGGCAACGCTCTCGAGGTGATGCTGACGCTCGCCCAAGCTGAGAACCACTGGGCCGGAGGACCTAGTGTACCATTTGGCACTCAGTAACTGGCCACTATTATTATTTAATAAAAGTGGCTAACTTGCATAGCATTTACTATACACCTGTAAGGGTACTATTTACAGTACTATTATTATTATATCCTGGTTTTATAGATGAAGAAAGTGGAGCACAGAGAAGTGAAGTAAATTCCTGCGGTCATTCTCTTAGTTTGGGTTCCTGGAAGCAAACCCTGAAACCAGGATTAAGATGCACGTGGTATGTTTGGAGTGTGATCCCAGGGACACTGGTTGTGAGTGGGAAGGAGACAGGGAAGAGAAGGCAGCCAACAAAGGGTCGTTCTGCAGCAGGTGGGGACTCGGAGTGAGTAGAGTGTGCCTCTCAGTGCAGCCTGGAAGCAGCAAGGCCTGGGGGACACGGGCAGGGCGCTGACCAGATCTGCCACTGTCACATGGCTGGGATTCCAACATGGGACATGGGGACAGTCTGGCTCCAGGTCGAGGCCCTTTGCACTGAATTATACAGACTCTGTGCAGGGCCCAGGAACTGAGCCTGCGTGTGATGCACACCCAGGACGCGTCGTGGCTGTTGTTGGGTGGTGACTGAGTGCAGACAGTGTCTCAGCATCCCTGTCACCACCCCATTTGGTCCTGAACTCTAAATCACAGGGGAATGGCTCTCTTGACTCAGACATGTGGTTGGAGTGTGGGAACTCAGTGGGGAGATATAGAGAGAGGGGAGTCGAGAGGCTCATCTTAGAGGCCGGGCTTTGGGTTCAGACAGACTTTGGCTTGAATCTTGTCTCAGGCCTGGGTCCGGGAGGGATATGAGTGCCAGGCCTAGGAATTTGGTGTTCTTCTGCAAATTTGGCGTTCTTCCGTGGCATTCTTCTGGCATTCCTGAGGGAAGAGAAAGGAGCCCAAACTGCCCTTGCCTTAGAAGGATGACTCTAGCAGCCCAGGAAAATGAAGACTGGAGGACTGTGCATTCCTGTCTCCATGGAAGGAAGTTTCTTCTGAAATCATCTAGGTCAGAGCCCTTGCTGTCGGATTCCTCAGCAAGTCTTTCCTGTAAGAAATAAGGGAGAAATGAGGAACCGATTCTGCAGCTCATTTTATACAAGTGTGATTTCTGTAAACTCTCCCCAGCACACCAAGAAATGGGGTCTCTCTGCTGGTGGCACTAGTGTAACTCATTTAGACTAAAGTGTAAATGACTGACAAAGTCAACATGGATTTCTTGAGAGGAAGCCATGGAAAGAGGATATGTTCTAAAAACAGACCTGGGTTCCTCTCCCGGTATTGCCAGTTATTGGCTCTGGACCTTGGGCAAATTAGCCGCAATTCCTCCCTTTATTGCTCTCCATCCACACTTATTGAGGATCCATGTATGAGTCTCCATGGGTGCTATTCACTGTGCACTCGAGGATCTTAGTCTGGTGGCAGAATCAGATATACACCCTAGTGATGACCGCACAGCGTGGCGGAGGCATGATAGAGGCACGTGCAAAGGGCTTAGGCTCATTAGATAGAAGTGACTAGTTCTTGATAACCTGACTTCACGGTGGCTGGCTGGCCAAGGGGAGGGCTCAGGGGGACCTAGTTATAGCCCTGGGTGTAGAGTATGTATGTCCAGGAGAACCAGTGGGCACCCCTTTACTTTGTCATCTCTGGAGACTTAAAGAAGTGATGGAAGGTGCTCCAGTGAAGGCTGAGGAGACTGCGGTTGGATGAACAGGACTGATAGTCAAGCGTTATACAGCAGGATGGTCTCATCAGTTGTTAAAATATTGGAATGGTACTGCCCTGAGCCCCTGGGTTCCCCTATACCCTGGTCCCCTCCCCCGTGACCCCCAAACCTCCCCATGACCCAGCAGGTGAAGGGTTAATGCCCGGTACCGCAAGAGCATCGGGCTGGTTCCAGTGTTGAATGGTGGCAATTCTGGTGGCCGGTGCCCCCCACAAGCTATTAAATATTTTGAATCTCCCCCAGGATTTAAGGAACAGTTGCACTCTGGGAGAGGCTGTGGTGTCACATGGCCGGAGATCTTCAGAGGAAGGGGAGAAGGTGGGGCACTGGCCTAAAAACCCTCAGGGAGGCCCCTTCTCCTCCTGGGGCTCCATGGGCCCCGCACAGCCAGGAGGGCCTCCCTGGTGGAGAGTAGCCCGCAGGCCCCCGCTCAGGACAGCTGCTGGGGCTGCGGACAAAGAGGGCGTCTCTTTGTGGCCGGGCAGCCCGCCATCCTCCTGAAAGGGGATCCTGCGAGGCCCGGAAGCTGCAGGAGGCTCCATCAATCACGGGGCATTTCATTATACCTTGGACAACATCCATAATGGAATAAAATGTCAGTAAGTTTACTAGGGGAAAAATAGTAACTTCTCCATAGCCAGTTTGTTTTTTATTGATAGTAATTTCCAAAGACATTCCAATATCTCCAAAGCCATCGTTAATAGCCTCACGGCATGTCCATTTTGATGTGCAAATGAACAGATGCAGAGGCACAGACAATAATGCATTGCCTCCATTTCAGCCGAAAGTAATAAATCCGCCTCAGAATGTGTCCCAGTGTATCCCTCGGAAGTCCTTTCTTTTCTGCACATTCTCGCCTCTGTCAGGGAGTTAGAAAAGCCGTTTGTTATTTTTCTAGAAAAAAGGGCTCACCTCCTCCTCACACACACAGCGGGGGCGTCTGCATCTCAGGTCCTTGCTACACACCGAGACGGGGCCAGCCGGGCGTGGGTTTCCTCTCCAGACCGGTCCGTTCCATGAAATGGCCAGCTGGTAGCTGGGCAGCCACTCCTTGTTTTCCAAAGGACCCAAGCCTCCCTGCTTGCAAGTGTTCCTTTCTCTGTCTTATTAATGTGTTAGTTACTCAGCGAATATTTACTGATCCGTCCTCACACTAGGTCCAGGTTAGAGTGTAGGATCAGAATGATAATGGCTGTTACTTATTCAAACATCTGTTATGTGCCAAGCATTGTTCTGTATGGAGGTACATCTGTTATCTCATTTAATTTAATCTTCCAACAGCCTTATGATGTAAGCGGCGCAATCACCATTTTAACGATGAAGAATTTGAGTTGCAGGGGAGTAAAGCAATTTAAAAATGTTTATTGTTAATAATGGTATATTTACAATAAAAACGATCACCACCGAGCACTCTTACGTGCCAAGCCTTGCATTGGACACTTTTCCTGTGTCATCATCTGGAATTCTCACAACCACCCATGAATTCCATGGGACCATAGCCCCATTTTACAGATGGGGAAGCTGAGGCTCAGAGAGGGCAAGGTGCACATGCCAGGTCACACAGCCAGATAGAGGTGGAGCTTAGATATGAAACTAAGTCAGCCCATTCCTTAAGGCTGTTCCCCCCCGCCCCCGCCAGAAACATGGACATGCCTGTCTTAGCCTTCCAGGGTCTTGAGCCCAGGCACGTTTAGAACCTTCTGGTTAATTTCCCATCAACTGTGATAAATGTTTAACAACCCTGAGCTTGTGTTTTGGATGTTTAATTGAAAGCTATAATAGAATTTCTTCTTTGCTGAGCAGCACATCAGAAATTTCTCAAATATTAGTTTTCTTTTACTAAGTGGGCAGGCTGAAGAGAACAATTCATTCTCCCTGACCTGGGTGGGAGCTTTCTGCAGCCGTCAATCCTGGTGTCAGTAGTCCTGAGACTTCCATAAAAAGGGAGAGAAGCTCGCAGGGCCTGGGGGTCTGGGAGTCCTGGGGAGAGGGCTGTAGCATGTGCCTGTGGATGGATACTGGGTGTGGCCACACGTGTGCCGATGGGCATCTGGGGGGAAGGTGACCTCGAGAGATTCATTGTCTGGAAGGGGGTGAGACCCTTTGGCAGACACTGAGGAAGGTGACCATTGCTCCCTCTGCTGCCCTAGTGTTCTCTAATCTGAGGTCTCCAGGTCTTTCAGCCATTCCTGCCATGGTGGAGAGCCCAGTCTCCCGCCATCTTGGTCATCTTCCTCTGCTTTGCCTTTCTTACACCAGGGCCCTGGGAACTGCGCAATGGTGTGGTCCATAGGGCCATCCCCTCCTTGCATTTGGGTCTCTGCTCCTACTCTAGGCCCTCAGAGGATATCAGTACAGTTTTCAGGAGCTCTCACCCAGGTTGACAAGGAGCTGTGCATGCTGACCTTGTGGCCTACCCTGGTGAGTCCCTGGGGGGTCACCAGCTGGATTAAAGGTGTGGCCCCTGCCCTCAGTGAGCCTTAAGTCACATTGAAGAGACAGGGCATACAGGCATAAAAGATTTTTAGCAATAACAGCGGTTAATGATAAGGATTTGGGTGACAGCAAGTTTCCCAGATACAAAATATGAGAATCCAGAGGAAGGAGAGGCCACCATGGGCTGGAGTGGTCAGGGATGTAAGCTGTCAAGGACAGGCAGGAAGCAGAGGGTGGACATGAGAAGGAACAGGGACACGTCCAAACATGGGGCAGGAGGAATGAGCTTGGGTGAGGCAGGTGGGGAGGGCATTTATCCATTTGACAGTTGAGGAAACTGAGGCACAGAACGTTGAAGTGATTTAGCCCAGGTCAGAGGTGGAATTAAGTGTGGTGTTCACAGACAGAAAGATCCCTCCCTGATTTGGGCCTCAGGAGTGAAGGTTGGCAGGTCCACTCCTCCAGCTCACGCAGCAGGCGGCCCCACGCTCCTGCTCTGGGCCTGGTTCTTGGCAGGAATAAGGACGGGTCTCGCCTGCCCACAGGGAGCTCCTGGACTGGTAGAGGACGTTACTCCTCACCCCAAAGCCATTCAGGAGCCGGCAGGCGGTGGGAGGCCTTGTTACTTCCCAGAGACGACCTGATTTCCGGAGGCCGCGGTGTTCCGCACAGGTGCCATTGCAGACGTCCTGGAGCCGAGAGCAGACGTTCTCGGGGAGATGAGCAGCATCTTTATCCCGGGCGCCTGACCCAGATCTCGGCACGGCTATTGTGGGTGTGCATTCGCAGCTTGGGATCGTGTGGTGGCGTGTTTGCAAACTCCCAATGTGCTGCGGTGCACGTGACGTTTACACGCCTAATGCACTTGCTTTGTGCTCAAGTTCTCCAGGCTTCTCCGTGCATCCCTGGGAGACACCTACCTGCCCCCCTCGGAGTGACGAGGCAGGGCTTTCAGACTCCCAGTGACGTGGGCATGGTTGGGTCAGCACTGCCACTGCTTCGTAGAGTCATGTCCCCTGGTGTCCTCTTCCAGGGATGTGCCAGAGATGCCTGGACTGGTGAGGGCTCAGCGGTCCCTTGGCCGTATCGATTCCCACACGGGACAGCTCTCTTACAATGCTAACGGATGCTGCTTACACACCTCCGGCGATCGGGGCTTACTCCCTCCTGGGATGGCAGATTTTTTCTTGAAATAGCGCTCCCGGTTTGCAAGATCTTCTTTGTGTGAGCTAAATGCAGACTTTCTATAACTAATTTCTTCCCTTTGGATCACAAGGAGGCGACAGAACCTGCCTGTCAGGACATTTGTGGAGGCAGGGAGGCCTCTCTGAGCCTAGGAGGGGGAAAGATGGAGAGGAGGGGGCCGGAGGAGGCAATTCAACCAAGCTGGACTTGGTGAGTTGAGGGTGGTGGGAGAAAGCGGTGGTCAGGCTGACACCAGGCTCCGGGCACGGTGTCTCAGGGGACAGTGGGCCATTAGCTAAGAAAAGCGGCAGGAAGAGAATAAGGCGGAAGTGTCCAGAAGCACTGCAGGGAAGGTTGAACTACAGCCTCACCCCCTGGGCTTCTTTGAGAGGTGCCTTGGCAGGAAGGGTACTCCTAAGGGTGGGCCCATGGTTAGGACCCCCCTTTCTCCCAGGCCTCTGAGTCTTGGCTGTGCTTCCCTGCCTGCAGGCACCTACGTTGGATGCTTCAGTGACGACGGCCAAGAGAGAACTCTGAAGGGGGCTGTGTTTTATGACCTGAGAAAGATGACCGTCCCCCACTGCCAGGATGCATGTGCTGAGCGGTAAGTGTGGGGCCCCAGGGCATCAACTCCATGGAAATAAGGTCGAGAGATGGCCCCGGAACAGGGCCATACGTTGGCTGGCAGTTGGCTGTTGTAGTGTAATTAGAGCTGGATTGATCAGATCCCGGTGTCCAGCGCAAAGAACATTCACTGATGTGATGGCACGGGGTTGTGGAAAGGGCCTGGCCTCAGTGTCCAGAGACTGGGGTTCTAGCCCAGCTGTGCCAGGAACTCGCCATGTGACTTTACTGAGCTCTTTTCCTTCCCTGGGCCTCAGTTTACTCTTATGTTTAAGACAAAGACCTTTAACCCAGATTTCTCTAAGGACCTTTCTAGTTCTGTAGGAAAAGTTTATTTCTATCCTGTGTTTATAACAAGATTCACTTTTCTGACACTGCCAGCTTACCCAGTAGTTACAGGACACTAGTCCTGTGTCAGGGAACGGTCCCTACCCTCGAGACATTCATGGTTCACTGTGTGTGTACACATGCTCGCACACCAGAGATGGCTAAAACAGAATCGGCAGATGGGACTCTTGAGTTATTTCTGTCATGTTAGATTCTTTCACATTTATTGTGTCATATAAGTCTTCACCACCTTCTGCTAGGTAGCAATGAATTATGCCGATTTTATAGATGGAGAAACTGAGGCTGGAGAAGGAAAGGACAGGGTCCCTGCTCAGGTGTGCTTTACGGTCTAGATAAAGCTAAAGCTGAGACTGACACCATCTCGTTTTATTCTCCTAACAGTTAAGGAAACTGAACTCAGCAGTAGTAAGTGATGTTTGGGGTCACACAGCTAGCAAGGGGCCAAACAAGGATTAGAAGCTTGTATTTGGGTGTGCAATCTGGGTTTTTTATGCCTAGGTCCACTGAGATGGGAGTTTAGAATGTTCACCTCTTTCCATAGTTAAATCCTGTGTGTACGTTCAGGTGCCATTGGCAGTCTTTCTTGACCTCCAGTGTTGTGACTGGCTAAAAGGGGGTGAGGAACTGTCTCTGGGGGAGGAGGGCCTGTTGGTAATGTGTGGCCGGCACTTGGGGCCAGGAGCGCTGGAGCCAACTCATGCTGACTCACAAGGGCAGACGTAAATGTTTAGAAATGTTGTAAGCCTGTTACTAAACCGTCGGTAGCTTGAAATCATCCATGATGGGAGTATTTACACCACAGAAATTGACAAATGCTCCTTCCTGCCACACTGAGGACCAGTTTACCAGCACACCACGGCTTTAGACTTGCTGTAACCTGTTTCCGTGGATGGCACTTTAGGGGACAAGCTCAGGGCTGACAAGGGACCAATGGGGCTGATGACATGAGCTTATCACAGAGGAAAGACTGTTCCCTAAACCCATCCAGATGACCCTCACGTCTGGCTGAAGACTGACCCCTGAGGCCAGCCATGTGCTGATGGCTGTGGCCCCTCTTCACCCAGACCTGCCCTCAGCGTCAAGCCCAGCCCTTGTCCTGGCCCCAGACCCAGCTGCCACTCCTTGATCTAGACTTCAGTGCTGTTGGGACCCCAGCCCTAGCTCTGGGCCAAGGTCGAAACTCACCCCAGGCCCCCTCTTCCTGCAGGTCCTACGTCTACGCGGGCTTGGAGGCCGGGGCCGAGTGCTACTGCGGGAACCGGCTCCCAGCGATGAGCGTCGGGCCGGAGGAGTGTAACCATGAGTGCAAGGGGGAGAAGGGTTCCGCGTGCGGCGGCCTTGGCCGGCTCTCCGTGTACCGCGTGCAGGAGCTGCAGCCGGGCTCCAGGAGGCGTGAGTGTGCCGGCCTCTCCCTCAGCTCTGTCTGTTCCCTCTCTCTGACTGCCCATCGCCCACAGTCTCTTGTCCAGACGACATGGGACAGAACCTGTGTCCTCCTTTCCTTATCACCTTCACTGGACAGGCTTGTGGCAGGGGCAGGGGAGGGAGGGGAATGGTTAGCGTCTGCCAAAAATTACTTGAGTTCATGACTGAGGCACATCTTTCCTTGTCCCCTGCAGGAGAGACAAATTGATCAGGAAGTAGAGCCTAGGCCTAGGTATGTCTCAGCCATGCTGTGTGGCCTCAGGCAGCTTGCTTCCCCTCTCTGGGTTCCAGTCTATTTTGTAAAGTACAGATGGAGACCTAGATTTCTAGCAGTGGGGCAGACCAGATAATCTGAAAGATTCCTAGTGATAAAACACCTAGAAATGCTGGATAAAATTGCACAAACATTATTTTAAATGCATAGCTGAACTAGCAAGAAGATAAGGAAATCTCTGGCTCCAGAAATGAAGATTGAGCTAAGAGTCCCGGTCGTGAGATGAGAGTAGAAGATGCTGTGCAGCTCTGCGTCTCTGCAGAGGGAAGTTTCTGGTCTTGGTGTTCACGCGGCTCAGGCTTCAGTGTCCAAGTAGGGCAGAAAAGAGCTTCGGGCCTATCAGAGTAGGAAATTGGATCGAAACCTCTGTGTAAAGTGGGATTCAATTCCACTGAAGTATAAATCAATAAGATTTTAGATTTAAAAAAAAATACCACCTCAGTTCAGGGAGATGTAAAGAAAACTTGTCTGTTTTGAACTGAGCTTGATGTGGGGAAAAGAAAAATCTTTCTAAGACTTTGTAATTGTAGGCCTGCATTTGTATGAGTTTTTTTGTTGTGTTGTGTTTTGTTTTTGAGTTTCAAATTTATGCTATCTGCCTGGTCCCAAAAGCTCCAACATGAAAATTGGCTCTGGGCCATCTGGAGATGCTGGAGAAGCAAATGGAAAATCTCTCTTGAGAGCTGTGCCACCAGCCCCAGTGTAGAGAGCTCCCATAGATAAATTCTCATGGAAGACAAGCTTACAATTCAAAATTACAGAACTCAGGAGGAAATAATCAGCCATGAGGGAGGGTAAGCTGCTGCATCAGACAGCAAGATGGAACCCCCAAGAATTTCAAGTGAAAGTGTTGTCAAATAGAAATGATGATTGAGGAGCCCAACTAGGTGCATTTGAAACCTAGGTTCGTCCTCATTCAACATGCTGAGCCCCAGATCTGCTTAATCTAATTATAAAAGGCTCCTTTAGAAAATAACATGGTTGTGCACATTGGCACGTGTCTGGGGCCATCTTTTTCATGATGGGAGGGGCTGGGCTGGGAAGAAGTCAGAGCATGGGAGACCTCCCCCCACCACTGGCAAAGGTGGGACAGGAGATGATGGAGGCACAGGCCAGCGTCCAGGCACATTGACTCAGGGACACACTCGCCTCTGGCCATGGTCCTAGTAACAGGGCTCCAGGAGAGCTGATGGCAGTAGTTCCAGAACAGGGCAGGGCTCAGAGAAAGAGGTGTCGGGTCAGAAGCTAAGACTGCAGAGGGGTTTCTGGGAGAGCTCTCCTAGCAACGAATGAGTTTGCCAAGCAGCACAGAAGCCTGGCTTTGAGAACCATGGGTGAGCTTAAACACCAACCCTGGCCACTGTCTGTGGGGTCAGAGTGACGGCGAGAGGGGCTCAGTGTTCAGACCCGGCAAACTGAGGCTGCTTAGGTGTTTCTTGTATTCAGGCAGGATGTGTCTGGGAACAAGGGCTCCAGGTGAGGGAACGGGGATCAGGTGGAGACCTGAGAGCACACTCTATGGATTCACTCGTGAGACCATTAACTCAACAGATCCTGTTCTGTACCAGGCCCCGTCCTGGCATGGGGGTTTGCTGTGGTTCATGGATATATTCAGTCCTGCCCTGACACCTGGGCATCCAAATGGGCTTTCTGAGGACCACACTGCTCCAGGCTGGCTTCTTGGACCTTTGATTTCCCTGGGTTCAAACAACATTAGCCCCCTGACCCTCCCCGCTGCAACCCAGCAGGACCAGGTCCGTGTGTGGGCTCTGGGCTGCCCTGCCTGCTCCTTCTGCCTGCTCAGCCACTGACTGTTAGAGATAATTGTGCTTCAGGTTGCCTGTTGGGTAAGGGTCAGAAGCCCCAATCATTCAAGCTAGCCTCAGATCCTGAGTCGGCTAGACCTGATGTCGTGGTTCATGTTGAAAACGGTGCAGTGGCCGCCCCTTCTGGCAGGCTGTGGAGCCCTTGTGGTTGACCTTTGCCTGCACACTCCCTTCTCAAGGGGATGAGCTAACAGGATGTCTGTCAAGAGGTGACCAGGTGACCACCCGTCTTAAATGTCACTGGCAAGGAGCACCCACAAGTAGTAAGACCCAGGAACGTGCTCCCGGGTTGGGATCAGAGGTGGGTGCTGAGCAGTTCACCAGTGGCTTCACCTTGGAGGTGCCCTTCTGCCTTAAGTGGCCGTGGGGCTCTCACCCGGGGAGCGAGGGAGAAGGTGTGGAAGAGACTGCAGCAGATGGCAGCCTCGTCCCCCTCGTCCTACACAGTGAGGTGTAGACACAGCTGATGCTGCCTGCTCTAGCAGCTCTCGTATTGTAACCTGTTGCAGTTCATGCTGCCCCCTCACCTGCCCTGTCATGTTCATTCCTTCATCAGTACTCACTGGGCACCTGCTGTGTGTCAGGGTCAGGGCTGGGTGTGGGGAGCACGGGGGTGACCCAGATGCAGCCTCCCCACCAAGAGCTCTGTTTTGTACCTTCCTGTGGCCTGGGACTCACTGGGATGCTGGTCATCCCACTCTCCCTGCGCCCTGCCTGTCCTGGTCACCCTCCCTTGCCACGTGCCCCAGAGCCAGTCTCCCTGGTGTCTGTCCCACCCCAGTGCAGCCAGCTGAGGGCCACAGTCCAGGCCATCTAGATACTTTGTTCTTTGGGGGCCAGTCATGCCCCAGGACAGGAAGGAGTTCTTGAGCCCGCACAAGCTGTCACTCGGCCCTTACACCAAAAGCCAGGGCAGAGAAGAGGTCGTGGGAGATGCAGCCCCTTCAGGGGCTGGCACGTGGGTGCGTGTCGCTCCTCAGAACAACTCTAGCTGCCGGGCGTTATGTAGGTGAGGAAATGGAGAGTCTCTGAGTCCATAACACACCCAAGTGTCAGAGCGAGTCACTGGCAGTGCCAGGACTTGACCCCGGGCCATAGGATGCTCATCGTGGACTGTGTGCCCTAACAGGCCTGTGCCCTGACATTCAGACCGCTGGTGCTGCACTCCATCGGATGGGCTTCCAGACCCAGGGCTTGGTCCCCTTTTGCAGTTTTGCATGCAGAGAGCCCTTCTGCCATGGTGCTGGCTGGTAAGAGGGTTTCTCCTGCTGGTCAAGAGCTGTGGCAGGCAGAGAGAGGTGGGAGAGATGCTGAGCCCCAGGAGATGTTGTGTTAAAAGGAAGACGGGCTATGAATCAGGATGCCATCTAGAGAAACTCGGATGAATCTGGAAGAAATATGAGCAGTTGGTGCCGGAACATTCCAGAACGTTTGTTCACCACCAAGGAAGCCAACTAGCAAGCTGGACTTTTCCACCAGAAGCTCTGGAGCACAACTTGGCAGGAGGCTTCCTTTGTAACACAGGCTTGAGGAGTATTCCTAGAATTTGGGTAGGAGTTCAAGATCAGAGAGAAAGCAGAGCAGTGGTGTGACTCGACGGCACAGTGAGAGGGAACGTGGCATGATTTCAGATTCCCAAATCTACGTTTCTTTTTATGCATGTGTGGGGAAGACATAGAATTTTCCGGAATATCAGCCTCTCAGGTCACCTAGTAGAGAATCTGGCACATAATAGATGCACAATCCAGATTTATTGGAGGAAGGAAGGAAGGATGGATAGGTGAATGAACACTGTCCCCTGAGAGCTGGCAGGAGAAGCGAGATCTGAGCTGAACAGTTTGAGCCAGGTGGCCCCTTGTCGGTGACCCTGGGTGACCAAAGTTCTGGTGCCTGGCTTCTCTCAGGAGCTTGGCTTCACCACACCCCCTCCAGGGCAGTATACCCTCTCCGATTTGAAATCTGCCCCCCCCCCCCGGGTATATTTACACCTGTTTCGGGATCTGAAGCCACCATTTTCCCTTGTGACGAGCACCAACACCTGTGGGCACCATTTCTCACCAGAAACCCATTTCCTTTGCCGCAGGGAGGACCGTCATGAGCCGAGGGTGCTTCAGACTGCCAGAGAACGTCACGCACGCCTTCCCCGACTCCCTGGTACAGGCCAACGTGACGGTGGAGACATGCTCAGGATTTTGTTCCCAGAAAGTAAGACCAATTATAATTTCACAACCCTGTCCTTTAACCATCCAGCGTGTGCAGTGGTCTCAGGGAGGGGCGGGTGCCCGTGCTGGGCTGCAGATGTCCACTCTCAGAGCCCGCGCGGGAGCTGGGGAGAGAGGCGCGACATCACCGCCGGTGCTGGCAGGGAGCCCGTCTCAAACGCTGACGATCCCAGGCCGGGTTGGGAATTGTCAGCAAAGGTTGTAAAGCTGAAAGGATCGTGTCTTTCCCGCCATGAGCTCTTGGCACAAGTGTCAGATGTTAAATTGACTTGGTTTGGAAGCAGGAAGATGCTGGCTCGGGACTTGGGGAGAGCTGATGGGTTTTCCGTTATTTGCACTGATAGTGTTCTGACTGTGAATCTGACCGCAGGGGCCAGAGTCACACGTGCACCTCGGGTTCAGCCTGCGCAGAGGAGTGGAGTGTGACTCTGTGCAAGGGCTGGGCTGGGCACCAAAGGCCACTGTCCCTACATGTTAGCTCTGGCGTGGGAAAAGTTGGTCACGGCCAGATGGGGCTTGCAAAAGGCAGGACGGGGGGAGTGTGAAGTGAGCCTGGTGAGACCCAGCAGATGTCCAAAGAGCGTTGAGATCTGGGGCTGAGTCCAGTGGTCTCCAGATTGGGCTGGCTGCTATGGCCCCAGAGATGGCCTGAGGTGCCAGTCGGCTGGGGTTTGGGGCTGCTCCTGTGTGCTGGGGTTCAGTAGTCTTCATGGGACTGTGACACCTGGCAGTGTAGCAGAGTGGGGCTGGGAGAGAGGAGGGCCTTGGCGATGATGAGGATGATGATGGTTAGCAGCAGTGGCTAACATGTGTTGACCGTTTATTCCACGCCAGGTGCTGTTCCAAGTACTTTACGTGTGTTAGCCCATTTAATCCTCGTGATGACCCTTCAGGGTAGGTGCTGTGATTATCTGCATTTTGCAGGTAAGGAGACTGAGGCAGAGAGGGCTTGAGCATTCTGCCTGAGGTCACACAGCTCATGAGTGGTGGAGGCAGGATTTGAACTCAGCCTAGCCCCGGTCTGCTGGTGGTGTGGAGGGTGCAGGGAGTGGGCTCGGTGAGAGCAGATGTGGCTGGACATAAAGGAGCACACCCTCCCCTGTGCCCCCACCCACCGGGAGCTGCCTGCCCTCTGCTCCCGTGTTCTCAGCCCTCTTGAGATGCTTCCCTTGGAGGCGGGTGGAGACAGAGCCTTTCACATGCTCTTTCCTCTTGTACAAGTGCAGCCTTTGAAGTGGCTCTCTTGTGTCTCCAGCGTTTGTGAAGCCACTGCCCAGGATGCCTTGGAATCAGGGCTCACGAGACACAATGCAGCGAGCCAAGAAGAGTTTGTTGATTCACAGACATCTGGCCTGGGGACCCCTTCTTCCCCTCTCCCCGCCACCGTGGGAGCAGAGCCGTGGGTAGAGGCAGCAGGGACACCTGCTCACGCACGCAAGGAAATGAGCCACTCTCTCAGGGCTTCCTTCCCACCTGCGGTTCAGAGCAGTTTCCTGGAGGGCCCCCCACTGGAATCAGAGGAACTCAGCTGGTCCAGACCAGGCTGGAGGCGGGCCCGTTCAGTCAACAACGACAGGGCTGTCGTCCTGTGTGCTGGGTGCTGTGTGAGAGGCCTTCCCACCGGTGGTCTGTTAATCCTCCCAGTGCTCTGTGAGGGGAGATCTCTGAGCCCTGCTCGCTGCAAGAGCCGGTGCAGGTTTGCAGAAGTGAGAGCATTCAGACGCAGGCACAGAGGGAGCGGCCGGCTGTACAGCCCACTCTTGACGCCACACCAGGGTGCTCTTTGTGCTGCTGCCTCTCAGTGTGACATCGGGCGGGGGAAGGGGATGGGCAGGCAGAGTGTATGAGGAAGAGACAGGAGAGGTGATACAAGAGGAGAGGGAGCAGGCAGTGTGTCACATCTGTGTGTCCTTAGGGTTTTAAATTATTCCTTAATAGGTAATATGCTTGCATGGAACACAATAAGAAGACACCAAAGGGTGGAGAGGGAGAAGTCTTCCTCTCGTCCTGAGCCTCACCTACCCAGGGTCCTTCCTTGGAGGCAGCTAAAGGTCCTGAGTTCCTGCATCCACTTTCAGATCCCAGGAATATTCAAGCCATTGTTTTTTCACAAATTCATAATTCCTTTACAAACCCCACAGATGGTACGAAGCTACACACACCAGCCTGCCCTGTACCCTTTTCCCTTGACAATATGTCTTAGAGATTGCTCCATATCGGCACAGAAAGTGCCTTCCCATTCTTTTATTCCATTACGCGGCTGTCCTATAATTTATTTAACCAATCCCCTGCTGTTAAGCATTTAGGTTGTTTCCAGTCTTTTGCTTTTACAAACAAGGCTGCAATGGCTATCCTTGTAGGTGGGTCGTTTTGCGTCCACGAATCTGTAAGATAAGATTCCTAGGACATGTAGGGTCCAAGGCTGTGTGTGCTCTCATGTTGGTAAACTTTGCCTTATTGCCCTTGACAAAGGTTATAGTAATCTTAGACTCTGGCCAGCGATGCCTGAGTGGGAACAGGGCACTCTCATGACTCTTCTTTTGGGGAGGGTGGCTTCAAAGCAGCATCCTAGATAGATGCCCCAGTATTCTGGGGGTGCCTCCTCTCGGGCAGCCCACGGGGGCCCAGAGAATTCTGCCTTGTGGTTACCGACGCAGATTGTAAAGACGTAAAACTCTTCAACATCTATTTTCACCCTTTCTTCCTATTTACTGGCGCAAATCCAGCTTGCTGCAATTTTGTACTAGAGCATGTGCCAAAAGATAGCTGCAGGCTCTTGGTATCTTATGCCATCTTGCACCTTAGCACCTTGTGTGTCTCCTTTCGCAACATGTTTCAAGGGCAAGCTACCTGCTCAGCTCTGGCCAGTGCTGCTGTGAATTGTCCAGGTCAGAACAAGGATGAGAGGGCGTCCAGGGTTCTCAGAAGTGGCCTTTGCTCTAAGGTCACACAGGCCGGGGAATCTGTGCTGAGGCCTGTTTGTGATCCAGCCTCCCCTGTATTGTCGGATGGGGCTGGGAGGAAGGGCATTTCCTTAGTCCCATTGTTTAGATGCACAGAATTTTGCAGCTGTGAGGAGCAGAGTCATCGTTTCCAGCTTTAAAGTTGAAAGCGGGTCTTAGCAGGACACATTTAGTGGGATGTGGCCAAACACGTGTGCTGACATTTATGGGGGTGCCCACAGAGCCCAGGTGTGGGTGAGACCCGGCCCTACTTATGAGGTAGAGCTCACAGCTAGGGAGGGGCTCAGACAGGAGCTGGGCGCCTCTGACCCTCAGTGGAGTTAGGTCAGCGCCTGATGGGGTTGAAGGAGGCTGGGAGAGAGGCCTGCAACTTTTTGGGAGGGTTGGAGCTGGAAGGGGGCGGGGGGCAGCGTCAACAGGCAGATGAAGGGCATGAGGAGGGCATTGCAAGACTAGGCAACTGCTGAGCAGGAACGAGGCAGTGGGCAAGCAGCCCGGCTCACCCAGAGTGGAAGTCCACATGGAGTGGTGTGGAGGGCAGGGCGAGATAAATTGCAGTGGGCCTTGGATGCCTGCCTCGAAGTCCAGACGTTTTTCGGTGGGTAAGAGGGGGCTGCCGACGGTGTGGCAGGGAGGGGTCGGGATGCCTGGGTGGTGCTTCATAGCTGTGGAGGATGCTCTGGAGTGGCAGTGTCCTCTGTGGATCCCTTTGGGAGGCAGCGGTCCTCAGGGCCACCCTCAGAGATGCTTTGGCAAAGCTGCAGAGACATTGACCTGTGACCTGGCTCTGGAGGGAGAGATTCCAGGTCGGGCAAGGCCAATGCCCCAGACATCATGCGTCCAAGGAGAGCCACCATCTACCCAACAGAGTGAGCCTTTGGTTCCCGGGCTGTCCGTCCGTCCATCCTCTCTTGTCTCACCCTGTGGATGGATGTTGGTGTGACTTGGTGTGTCACGCCTCTGCACGGCCCCCAGCAGCTGTCAGTCCTGTGGTTTCCCGGTGGGGGCTTTGCTGGGGCTCTGATTTCACTCTGGAGCAGGGTTTCCCAATCTTGCAACTATTGCCATTTCAGGCCCGATAAATCTTTGTTTTAGGATCTGTGTGTGCATTGTAGCATATTTACAGCATCCCCGGCCTCTACCCACTACATGCCAATAGTACCTCCTCCCTCGGTTGTGACAACCCAGACTGTCTCCAAACACAGCCAGATGTCACCCCCAGTGGAGAACCACCGCCCTAGAGGGCCTGCTTGAATGTGTCAGCTCAGCAGTGCCCAGGCGTGGCCCACATTCCCCACGGGTCTGAATCCCGGTGAACAATTGTCTTTTCCAACCATTTGATGGGGATGAGGAAGCAAATTCTGCCTCTGGCGCTGAGGTCTGGTGGATGCGAGATCAGTTGGAAGTTCAGCTGAGCCAGGCCTGCGGAGCCCAGGGACCTCTTTGCAGGAATGATTTTCTCTCTCCTCTCCTGGACGTTGAGGGTGGGTGAGAGAGAGGAATTCGGGGATGTCTGGCTGTATGTTCCTGTCTGAAGTGCCAAGCGCTTTCTCTCCAGAAAGGCCAGGGGCACCGAGGCTGCAGGGCTGTCCCAGTGGCAGCTTTATCTCATCCTAATTTGGCAGAAAGACAAGCTCAAATGTCCTGTGATGTGGTTACATTATGCCACAGCCATACCGTGGACTATCATACAGCCATTGAAAATGTTTTCAAAGACTTTTATGATGGAAAATACTCACAGCAAAACGTTAAATGGGGCAGAACTGAATCTGAGGGTGGGGCTGGGGGCTCAATTAGGGCTGGCTGGGCAGTGGGGCCGGGAGCAGCAGATGCGAGAGGTGGGGCTGGAAAGCGGGAAAAGGGGGGGAGCCCTCCCTGCAGTGCCCCAGTTTTGAGCACCATCCGAGGTTCATTTGTGGCCCCAGATAAAAATCTCTGTTTTTCACTAGTTAGTTAAAATGGATTTAGGGAGCTCCAGGAGTGTAGTTTGACAGAAAAAGAACATTTGGGGCAATATCAG